AGAGGGTGGGGATCAAGAGCAGAGGGTGGTTGATGGTTAAGAGAAGACATAGTGAAATAGAGTGAAAGGCAGAAATAGAAATTGTAATGTAACAGAGAGAGAGGAAGGAAGTACATAAAGAAAAGAACGGATTAACAGTAAAAAGATGGGGAGAAAGAAAATGCATGAGTATGTGCATTCATTATTTTGAACAAAATATTGTAAAACTCCCAATTATTCTTGAACAGCAGCTTTATAGGGTGGGAAAATGGGAATTTTGGGTGAGTAAATGGAAGAGAAGGCAAACTGGAGCGATAAACATAGATAAATAAGAGGATAAAGAGATAGAAGTGATACATTTGTGTTCCACAAAACCCAAAGCATCAGCAGAGGAATTTTTGTTTACACTGGAAGCAAACAGCTGCCGTCTAAAGGTTATCTTCCTGTAATGATTAAATTCCTCCTTCTTCTTTCCCACGAAAATCTATACAGAGGAGAACAAATTAGCTTGTGTTCCTCCATTTTCACTCCATATCTGCCTATCCGATTTGATGGTAACTAAGATGAGAAGAGATGGAATAAGAAAATACTGGGAGGAAATTTCCCAAAGGCGATGCATTTTGATGATATCCGATCATCATGTGAAAATAACAGCTCAGAGGAAATGGAAAAACAAAGAATGCCAAATAACCACGGCCTTGCCAAACACACGCATTGACATCACCTTGAATGTCAACTTTTCAAGTCTTTTGAAAAAGATAGATTTTTTTCTATTGACAATGTTCCATGATTTATTGACATTTGGAATAGCAATTTGAAGGATTCAATTTGTTTTCATGGATAAAAAACAATGTTATGTCACCCAGTGAAAAATAGCATCAGGAAAAAACAAATCAAGTTTTTACTGTATATGCTTAGTGAAAGAGGGAATTTCTCACAAAGAGACTGTGCTGTATTCTATGGGTCAGTCCACTTCTGATAGATTAGTACTGCAATTTAAACCCTTTTATCACAATCAATGCATTGCATTACCTGTCAAATGTTGTCTTTGAAGCAGTCATGTTCTTATTCCTCTCTTTTTCTGAATCCAAAAACCTAAGTAGTGTGCGTGTATTAAGCCTTTACACAAATACAGCACATGTTTGAAATGTATATTTCATGTTTATTTTAATCCGGTTGCACTCTGAATCAGCTCAATTTATTCTATGAGAAGTAATCCTGGTTTGGGGCAGAGGAAGGATACTAAGAGCAAGTGCTGCAAACCACTAGGCATAAAGAATGTCTTACAGCATCTGTTGTGTGTTTTATGACCTGATTCAAGTGATCTTAGACAGACTTGTAAGGCAAAGCAGAAAAAAAAACATTGAAATAAGATGGAAAATAAATTGTGCAGCAAAACACAAACAGTATGTGAGAGTATTCACAAACATTTCATCACACCTCATTCCCAACAGTCGCAACATATCATTGCACACTTCACACACTGCAGCCACCTGTTCATGTCTTATCTTTTCTCAGCTTGTTTAGAGAGCATGCTGAGACACCGATATCCATGACTCAAAATCCAGATTAAGATGACAAACCTACATTAAGTATGTTGTTCAACAGAATTAGCCTGTTTTGTTCTTATTTCTTTGGATTTCAAATTGATATTCTTCTACGGTCAAGGCTGTAAACAATTAGATAATCATTGTATCAAGAAAAGCTTCTACAACCAGCTGGATATGCAAGACAGAAATTTGGCTAATATATGGCTATTTAAAAATGAACTATTTTACATTTTGGATGTTTCTTTTCAAAGGTTAGAAAATAAAATCTTTACCACTCTCATGTCTTTGTAACAGTCTCAATTAAATATGGACAAGCGAATAAGCACCTTTCTCAAAACGTGGAAGAATCACTTTAAGATTGAAATTAGATAAATATTTAAACATGGATGCTAAACTGAAAAAACACATTTTAGGTATTATTCTGCTTTGTGTCATCATATATAGAAGCTTCAGAATATTACATACAATATATAATGGAGGGAGAAAGGAATTGGGCAGAGTGACAGAGAGGGGGAAAAAAGAGAGAACACAGTGTGACCTGGAGAAGATTAACAAAAAGCTGAGAACAAGGTGAATCTAGATCAGAAATAAAAATGACACACCACAGGGAATTGAATGGGGAGCTTAGAGAAGAAAAGCCTGATAGATGCTGTAATTGGATGAGTTGTTGGTCAGAAAGTGAAACAGAAAGAGACAGGCCTACTGACACAATGACAAGCCAGCAGTGGACTCACTGACAGACATGTACATGTGCTCACACACAGGTGCCCCATTGCTCTGACAAATGATCACAGAGTAGGCCTACTACAGGGGAGGCAGGGCTTTGACACCTGGGGACTACTGTACTTTAAAGAGAGCTTTCACTAAATACAAAGTTTCAGTCACAATGTTTCACGTGAAAAATAATTTGCGTAAAATTCTGGGTTTCCGGTCCTACGGCGCTGGCTCGCTTCTTACCAGGCTAGATCTCCATGGTAACAAATGCTGAACGGCTAACCTGCTCCGGAGAAAAACTGCCGTTGCAGGAAAGACGGCCGGCAAAAATCAACTGACTGTGTGAACGGGAAAATTAATAGATTATCACCTCCCATCTTCAGAGCAATCTGACTATTATAACATTAGCGTTAAGAAAGCTTAAACATATCTGCCACAAGTTAACATAACCGGATCAAAGTAACATTACTTATGGCACATTTCCACTGCAGCGGGGTAGCCCCGTTTAAGCGTCCTCGCTCAGGCCTCGGGCTGCCTCGCTGGCCGTCCGAGGCCGTGGCGCATTGCCATTACNCTTACTTAAAGGTGGGGTAGGTAAGTTTGAGAAACCGGCTCGAGATACACTTTTTGTTATATTCCATGGAATGCTCTTAACATCCCGATAGCAATGAATATCTTAAGTGCTTTGACAAAATATCCATAAAAGAATGTCATCTGTGGAACCCGTAGTACTGTAAAAAGCACGACCAATCATCTGAGCCGACCCGGCTAAAATAACTGGATGGCCTACCTTCCTGTCAGCCTTCCATCTGTGCACAAATTTATCTCGTGCCCTCATTGGTCATGTGCGCCAACGTGTGTGTTGGAGGAGGGGCTCTGTAAGGAAGTGGCAGATTTTTGTGTATTTTCAAATTCTAGCGCACTCAAGCCGGTTTCTCAAACTTACCTACCCCACCTTTAAACTATGAAATCTGCCAGTGCAAAAACGAGAATGTAGGTACATTGTTTCCTAAAGGTGGGGTAGGTAAGTTTGAGAAACCGGCTTGAGTGCGCTAGAATTNTTATGCTGTGCGGCTAACCTGCCCCGGAGCAGGTTAGGTTGCAGGCTAAGAGCTCAACTCAGTGAAAGCACTGACCAATCAGAGCTCAGTGTGCGGAGTTTAAAGCGATCAAGTATTACAGGAGAAAGGAAATACAGAAAAGCTGCCGTTGCAGGAAAGACGGCCGGCAAAAATCAACTGACTGTGTGAACGGGAAAATGAATAGAACATCACCTCCCATCTTCAGAGCAATCTGACTATTATAACATTAGCATTAAGAAAGCTTACTTAAATATCTGCTACAACATAAGTAACCGGATCAAAGTAACATTACGTACAGTCCGCGGCACTGAGTGCAGACGTCGATGTGTCCCATTATCATTCATATCACATCATAATGTAGGGTCTTTGTTATCATGTGCTACTCTGATACTAGAAGAGTACATTCAGTATTTTCCCAACTTATGGTAAGTGTTGTCTGGTTGCTCCTGCAGAGACCCTTCAGATGTGCTGCGATCTCTCCCAGCTCTGGTTCAGGGAGTTCTTCCTGGAGCTCACCATGGGCCGCAGGATCCA